TTTTTTTTTTTTTTTGTCTCCTTTACTGTGGACTACACGACGTTGGTTTCCCAAACGATGCTGCAGTGGAGAAGGCGGCGAGGGCAGCTCTACCAACCATCACAGTCACTAAAGTCCTCCTTCTTTTACTGCCCTGCACGTGAAGCGGGGGACGCAGACAAAGACGTCCGCTGCATGAGTTGATAACGACAGCCTGTTACACTACACATAAATTTTGAACTTTTTTAAGGGGGTATCTGTGAGTGTTGGGTGCAAGGAACCAGGCTGCTGTCCCCCCTTGTGGGACGTTCTCATTTTGCAGGAGTGGGGAGGGAGAAACCATCACGCAGACGCGTATTTTTCCTTTTTATTGTGTGTGTGTGTGTGTGTGTGTGTGTGTGGTTTTGTTGTTGACGTCTTCTTCATGTGGGGTTGTATTATGTTTTTTTTTTTGGTTTGTTGTACCGTCGCGTGTTGGTTGTTAGTTCCCTAATGCTGGCTGCTGTAACGTTTCCTGGAGCTGACCGGGGCAAACGCCACAGAAAAGGGAAGGAACTGAGGAGCGTAGAACAAAACAACGTGCGTGGTTACTGAGGCTGAGGGAGAGGAACGTTGGCGGTGCAGAAAAAAAAATTATTCATCTCGTGTTTTGATGTTTTCATATACCAGCTGTGGGCGGAGAGACGGCGGAAGCGGTGAGGGCTGGTGGTTAACTGCGCCTCCCCTTCATTACCCTCCCCTTTTCTCCCCTTTAATCCCTCCTCTATACAAAGGTGCCCGTGTGTTCTGCACGGCCACGGAACACAAATGCTGCCTCCTGTGTCACTTCTCTCTGTCCCCAGACTGCAAAAGTGAAGTGCGCGGCTGCGGCAAATACAAGTGCCCCGCAACGTCGCAAGGGAAGCCTAAGAGCACAACCCTTCTTGTTTTTGTTTTGTTTTTTGCGTCCCGCGGATGAACAGTAAGACGGAGACTGAAGTGCCGCAGGTCATAGGCATACTGGGGCCGGATGGGAAAATGATTCCGCTGGATGAGTCACGAGAGGAGGAGTTTGCTCCGCAGAGAGTGTGCTGCCACCTACCACCGCAACAGTACCCCTTGCCCGTAGTCACTGTTCTGCCGCTCAAGGAGGAGGAGGAGAAGGGGAAGACGCCATCACCGCAAAATGAGTCATAGCACACCGCTGCAAATTAAGAAAAGGCGGTCATTTAGATGTATTCATTCGTGTCACTGTGAGACAGAAGCCTTTCCGAGAAAATGGCGTGAGCAAAGACGATGGTAACTGGTGCCTAGTCGTCGGACGTGCACAGAACTTTCTCACCTTCCAGAATATATAGGATAGGACTTGACCTGTGCTGCCTTATTTAATAGAAAGGGAAATGTTAATTGTGGGTTGTTGTTTTCTGTCAACCAAAGGGGACGGGGAGAAGAAGCGTGCGTCACCTTGAAGCGGAAGGGGGACCTCGCTGTGCTGCATGCACGCAACTGAGACGCAGTATCGTTCCGGACGCCTTGTCGCCCGCCCACTCGGTTATGTTTTGGGTGTCCGTGGCTGCGGGGCGAGTTGGGCGCTGAGGCGCGGCCCAAAGCGAAGTGCAAATGTGTGTGTATGTGTGTTACGCAGCTCCACACACACGCACACACACACTGCTGATTTCGTCGCGGTTATTATGATATATTTTTTCCGCTTTATGTTTTAGTTGCCTTGACTGACTGGGTGAGGGAGTGTCATCGGGCGTGGGTGGTTTCCGTCTGCCCCTGTGGGCATCTAGCCTTTGCTGTGCCTCTATTCTCGCCCATGTTTCCGTTGCCGAGGTTCCGGTGGGTGCAACCACGACGAAGAGCAAGCAAGGGAAGGTAGGAAGAAGTGGGACGAGCGGCCGCTTTTGCTGTGGAGAGCAGGCAGTAGGAGAGGGACGACAGATGGTGCGGGTGAAGGCAAAGGCTCGGAAGGGCGACGACGCCTTCCAGACGCGCAAGCAGAAGGTGGGACGAAAGAAACTTGCGCCCGCCACGGCGACCCGTGCGGAGGTGCATGCGCGGACGCTGCGGGTCACGACGCCCTCGGCAATTGCTTATGTAAACCCTGAGGAGGACGCCGGGGCCGCAGCGGATCCCGAGCAGAGGCGGCAGAAGCGACCGCGCCGTGACGAGGAGCATCAGCAGCTGGCCGCGGTGTCCTCCGAGAAGCTGCACCGTGACTTCAAGGAACAACTCTCAAATACGCGGCATTATAAGAAGTCGTTTCGAGGCGCTGGCTTCATGTCACTAGTGAGGGCCATTGCGGCGAACTACGAGGCGCTGCACGTCATTGCCCAGATCTCATCTACCGCCGTGACTGACCTCAGCGATGCGGCGTTGTTAAGTCCAATTGAGATTTTGTCTGCCTTTACGAGTGCGCTGGACGCGATGTCTGACACGGACGGCGACGTTCGACGCGCGGCGCTTGCCACGTTGAAAATTATCCTTCTTCCTCCGGTGTCGGCGTCGGCGTCGCGTGGCCATGGGACGGACGACGACAGGGGTGAGGTCGTGCCGTGTAGGCTCACGGTGCCAGCCAATGGTGCCAGGGTGACGTGTGACACAGATCGAACTCGGGCGGTGCTGCGCGTGGTGGATGTGACGCTGACGCACGCCATGACCTCCGTGCGGCGCTCCGGCATTGAGTTGCTGCATCTCATCCTGCAGGCCTCTCCGCATGGCGTCCGTGCTGTCCTGCGTGAGTCCGATGCATGGGTAAAGATGGTGGGTCGTGTCTCAGCGGTTCTCCTGCAGGGTACTAGTGGCTCCAGTACTGGCGCGAACACAATGAAGATGATTCACGTGGTGCCAGACATTCTTGAAACGATGTTGCAACAACGTGAGAATGTGGCATGCGTTGGAATGGATTTTTTTATTTCCCAGCAGGGGGAGAAGGAGGTGGAAAACGCAGACGCCACACCGCAACGCATCCTTGAGCTCTTTGAGGAATGCACCCCGAAGTGGAGCACGGAGTGGAAGGAGTTAATGGAGATGCGGACTACCATCTTCCGTGATGCCGAGCGGGTGCAGCGGGCCACCGCGATTGCCCGCGCCTTCGCCTGCATCACCATGTACCTACGTGTGCAGTCGCTACTGAGTAAGCGACACATGCAACTCATCCGTCACCTTTTCACCGTTAAAATGCCCTTTACAATGCATGAGTTGACGCTGGGGGCGGCGGTGCATGAGCATAGTGGGGGGCACAGTCACAGCAAGACACGCATGGTGCTGGCGAACGCCATCGCTGACGCCTGCCTGCCAGTGGCGGATGCTATGAGTGATGCGTGTCAGTTGGTGCGGGACTTCTTGTCCGCCGCTTTCCGTCCAGCGAAGGGGGCGACATCGTCGGCGTTGTTAGGGCGCCACCCATGTGGTGGGGGTGAAAGCGAGGTGGCCACGCTACTTCTAGGCCCATTGCGAACGCTTCGGGCAGCATTTGTGCAATTTCCAGGCGCTCTGCTTCCGCGCTTTATGTTCCTTGCGCCGCCGATGATGCAGGCTGCCATGCGGGCCGTTGGCGGCACAGACGGTTGCTCATGGGGAGAGGCTGCGTTGCTGGCGGCTGACGTGCTTGCCGTGCTTCTCGCCTCCCAGGCCGCCGCGGCGTCGAAGCAGGGCCTGCGCTTTCTTGCTGAGGCGGTATTGGCGGTGCCGCGGCTTCTTTTCTCCCTTCGCGGCAAGACCGACACGGCAGTTGTGGACGGCGTCGTCACTGCTTTCCTGCGGCCGCTCTGGAGGCTGGCGAGCGGCGGACATCCCCTGCTGCAGAGCCCCACCACATCCGGTGAGGACGCGGCGGCGCAACTTCGCATCTCTCTGCCGTCGCTCTTTGAGATCCGCGTGCCCGATGCGGCGACGCCCGGCGCTTCCGTGACGCTGGACGGGGTGCTGCCTCGCTGCACGGAGCCGACGCGGGAGTTGGGGGCCCACCTGCTGTTCTACCTCTGCGGCGAGGCGCCGTGCGGGGCGGCGGCACCACCGCTGGCGCTCACCGTGCTCGCCCGCACCCTCCCCTGCTGCTGAACAGGAAGGAGAAGAAGAGGACAAGCACGACACAAAAAAGTGAAGTAACGGAATAAAATTCCTTTGAGTAAAAGACTGAAACAAGAGCAGCAATGAAAAGAGAAAAACAACAGCGGATGGATGGATAGAGGAGACTACACTCACATCTGCATTGTTTTTCTCATCACACACACACACACACACTGCATTGTCTCTACCGCGCTTGGCACGCTCTTCCGCCCAGCCTTTCCCTTAATTTTCTTTTTCTTTTTTCTTTTTTATTGGGTTTTGTTGTGGGGGATGCTTGCGCTTGCGACGCACGTGAACTTCTGTGCCTTCCTTTGCAACATGCGTGTGTCCACGGAACGCGTTCCCGACGGGTTTGCAAGCGCAGGGAGAGGCAAAGAAGAAGGCGAAGAGGGGGAAAAATGGACGCAAAGACTACCGATGCGGTCGAACGGAAGCGGCAGGAGTTCCTCTCAAAGGATGCTGTTGAGGAGCTGCGCAAGTTTAGTGATCAGACAAGCTCGCGTGTGCGGCACGGGCTGCTTCCGCGTGACCACCAACAGACCGTCGACGCGGCGCACGAGGAGAAGATGCATGCGTACATCTCGGCACGGCAGACGTGGCGGAAAAACGTGTACGTGCTGCGCAACTTTGAGTACTGGCGCCTTCGGGCGGAGTACTACCCGTACGTGAAGCGTAGTGACGAGTATAGCGACAACTTTTTCCTGCGCGGGATCTCGTGCCACCCACGGCTTAGCGACTACCCGATGTGTCGTACGGTGATCCAGGACTACTTCATCTGCCGCGACAAGAACAAGGTGATGCAGCTGTTTAACATGTGTGCGCCACTGAAGGAGCAGTTTTGTGCCTGCATTAACGAGGTGTTCGTCAAGAACCACGAACGCGGCGACAAGAAGTTTAACGCACAACGAAAGGAATACTTTGAGACGCAGCGGGAGCGGCGTCTCACGAAGATGCTCTCGCAGGCGGAGGAATCGGCGGAGCAGCGAAAAAAACTGCAGGATTAGGTATCTCTCCCCCGCACACTTTTCTCGTGTCCCGGCTCCCTTCTCCCTTTTGCTTGGCGGCGTGTGCGGGGGAGTAGCATTGAGGTATATTGTGCAGTGCATATGTATACAATGTATAATATGATGTCTTTGTGCGCCTACCAGGTGTCCTCGGTAATTGTCTCTACTTGGTCTTCCTCCCTGTTGTTTCTCGTTTGTTTCTCTTGGTGCATGTGTCTCTCTGAGGCAACAAGGTTGGAAAGGAAACAAACCACGCGCACATAACAATACAAAAAATAAAAATAATAAAAAACGGTCGGAGACGCTAAGCGGAGGGCCGTTGTTGCGAACACACCGAAGTAGGGAGGGGGAGAGAGGAAGGACGCAGATTCTCTTAACGGGGGGAGGGGAAGTACACGCTGCCTCAAATGTCTGCTGTTCCCGCCTTTGTCCGCGTCGGGGAGCTCGCCTGCCAAAAGAACCCATTTCTTCGCGAGCTTCGCGCCCGCATCGTGTCCTGCGAGGCGGTTGCCCTGAAGAAGTCCGATGGTCGTAAAGGCGGCAACCATTCAACAGAGAAGAGCCCCAGCTACAATGTTGTTCTCACGGACTCCGTCCTTTTCCCGGAGGGCGGTGGTCAACCGTGCGACTACGGCACAATTATTCGTGGGGGCGCAGAGGAGGTGCCGGTGCGGAATGTGCAGCGCCGCGGTGAGACCTGCGTCCTCTCGACGCCGTCCCCGCTGGAGGTGGGAGAGGAGGTAAAGGTGCGGGTGGACTGGCCACGCCGCCTCGACCACATGCAGCACCACACCGCGCAGCACCTGCTCTCGGGGGTGATGGAGAGTCTGCCGGAGTGCCAGCTGCCCACGGTGTCGTGGTCCCTCACCCACCCATATTGCTTCATCGTCCTCCCGACGGGAAACAGACTGCATCCGGCCGTGGTTGCCCGCATTGAGGATCTCTGCAACGACGCCATCGCCAGGGCCATCACCGTGCGCTGCGACGTCTACGCGAGCAAGGAGGCGTATGAGCAGGTGTTGCAACAGGAGGCGGAGTCGCACAAAACACCTCGGAAGTGGCACAAAATTCCGGACGACGTCACAGGAGCCGTTCGCATCATCACGCTGGAAGACATTGATTGTTGCACGTGCTGTGGCACGCATGTTGATAACCTGGGGCGGCTGCATATGATAAAACTGCTTCACCAGGAGACGAAGGGTGAGACACTGAAACTTTACTTCATCACGGGTGATCGCCTGCGTCGGCACTACGGGGAGATGTACTTCCGTGAGAAGGAGCTCATGAAACAGATGGGTGGCATACGGCCGGAGAACTTTCTAGCCGAGGCTGCACGTAAGGGGAGAGAGTTTGTCGACATGGAGAAACGACTCAAAAACTTGACTCTTGACTTTGGGAGGGCTGAGCTTCAAAAGCTTATTGCCGAAGCGAAGGTTTCCGTGGCGCAGGGCGGCGATGGTGGTGGTATTGTGACGTACCGCCGTGATGACGTCGATATGGATTTCTTTAATCTTCTGCGTGACGGGATACAGTGGGCGTGTCCCGACTGCGTGGCGGTGTTTGCGTGGGGCACCCCTTCAGCGGCGAGCAAAACAGCGGGGGCGAAGAGTGGGCAGTTTCTGATTGTTGGACCGCCCAGCCGGGTGGAAGCGTTGGCGCCGGATGTCTGCACGGCGCTGGAGGGGAGGGGAGGGATGTCAAAGTACGGCTATCGCGGCAAGGGTAGTCTTGCGGGTTGGGAGAAACTTGTGGAGCAGCTGCGCTCTTCATAAAGGAAGAATAAGAAGGATGGTCAATAGAAACGGTGATTGATTGGGTTTATTGTATTATTTTTAACTTATTTATTTATGGCTTCAACTTTGCGTTGTATGCCCCCCGCCTGCCTTGGCTTGTCTGTCTGAGTGTCTCTCACTCTCTTTCTCTCACTCTTTCACTCTCTCTTTCTGCGTATATTTGGCCGCTGTGTTACTTGGGCCAAAGCAGTCACCTATTTGATTGATTATTTGTTCGTTAAATTGTTTGATTCTGTTCGTTGAGCGAGAGGAAAGCGAGTGGGGAGGCTGCGGCACCGTCATCTTCTACATACACATACACACGCACGGACCCAAGCCCAAAGCTAACATACTTGCATGTATCATGACGAGAGTCGGGATCAATGTGGCCAATGGAACGCACCAGAAGCCGTCGCTCTCGCGGCTTCCGCTTGACGTCTTGCAGCTCATCCTCTCCTTTCTTCCCACCCCCGCCACGCTACGGACGGTGGCAACGCTCTCCTCTTCTTTCGCCGCCCTGGCTCAGAACGAGACGTACTGGCAAAATGTGTGGATCCAACGCGTCAGCGCGTGTTTCCGCAGCTACGTCCAACCCGTGTCCTCTGCCTTTGCCCCATCTGATGCGGGGTGCTGGGGCCATGTGGTGTCGCTCGTGTCAGCCCCAAACCAGGCGTTGCCGCGTCTATCCAGACATAAGTGCGGTGGTGGCGGCGGCGTGACGATTGTGGAAGAACACGACGATTCGGAGGGTAGCGTCACACATATTGGGCTGTGTATTGGGCCGCTGCTCCTGCGTGCGGCGGCGCCCGTGGACTTTGCAGCTTTAGCGTATCATCTCTTATTGCCCACGCGCGAGACAAGCGACGCCCCTGTCTATGGGAAAGGTGCGGAGGTGGGGAACGCATCCGCTGCAACTGCGGGTGTGCGACGTGCAACGCAGGGCAGTCATTCGCTGCGCCTGCAAAAGGCCCTGTTTTTTCTCGACAACGCGGCGTCGTTGGGGGTGGCGACGGGGCGTCGCCCCATGATTGACGGTCTCCACGTGATACGCCTCTTTGGGTTTGAGGTCGGCCTGTCACCGCCGCATCGCCGCGAGGGAACACTGCTGGAGCAGGAGGCCGCGCTTGGGGAGTTTGTTAGCGCCTTGGTGTATGCGTGGGAGTGCTGTCACCCGTCACTGCGTCCAGACATCTCCACGAAGCGGGGTTTGCTTCCACAGGCGGAGCTGCAGTCGACATCGTTCTTCCTCACCGGCGGTGACGAAGACGTCGACGTGGGAGAAATGGGCGACATCCACTTGGGCGTTTTTTTCCCTGTCGCGGCCTCGTTATCGTCGTCCTCGTCCTCGTCTCTTTCCTTCGACACTCCCCAGGCTTTGCCTGCAGTAGCTTCATCTGACAGCGCTTTAATCGTCACCGCTGCTTCTGCTGCTGCTGGCACAGAGTGCTGTCTGTGTCATTCCCTTTCTGATACGCTGATGTACCTGTTCCTGCTGCACCACGTCACCTTTTCCGATGTTCATCAGCATGTCTGGGACGACGAGCGGAAGTGTGCCATTTGTAGCCGCGTGCTGGGTCCCACAGGTCAGGCGGTAGAGTTTCGCTTTTTTGTGTCTTCCCTCCGCGGCAGCTACCCGCGTTTCTTTGTGAAGATGATGTTTGCTGAAGGCGATTTGCCACGCACATGTATTCAGGAAACATTTAACCGCGAGAGTAGCCGAAGTACGGCGTTTGCGCGGTTCTCCACCTCCGCGGAGGAGGTGGAGCCGAAGCTCACCACACTCTTCTACGGCGGCTTTGGCCGGGTGGAGGTGGACTGCCCACCTACGGTGTCGCGTGAGGGCTTCTTACGTCTGCGGGGCGCGCTTGGCCTTGCGCCTGCCTTCCCAATGCAGCTGCTTTGGAATGTTGTGCTGCTGGCGACCGGCGTGGGTGGGGCGGCCCTGCGGACCCAGGCGCCGTACTTTGCGCTCCACTACCAGACCTCTTTTACCGCGGCGTTTGATGAGTTGTTCCCGCCCGCCCCTGAGCGGACATGAACCCGCACACGCACACAAACGCAGCGTGAGAAAAACGTATTTAGTATCTCTCCGTGCGCCTCCACGTAGAGACCGACGGTGGCGGTGGGGGTGGGGGGGAGCGGCAGCACGTACAGAAACGCAAGGGAGGGAGGAGCAAAGGTGTGTGTTGTAAGGGCGGGAAAGAGAGAAAACTGGTGGGCGGGGCGGGGGGTAAACACCACCACGGGAGCTGGGATGTGAAATCCTATGTCAACGAAGAGGAATGTGGGCATCTGCTTCTGCGCGTTTGTGTAGGTGGTGAAATCGCCGGCATGGAACCCGCTTGGTATGCACTGCCTGCTTCTGCTTTCTCTCTCGCTCTCTCTTTCTGTGTTTTTGCCTAGTGCGGGTGTTATGTTTGCTGTCTGTGACGAGCGAGTTGGGGGTCTGAAGAGGAAGGAAAAGGGGAAAGTCTGTTTGTTTTGTGTGTTTTGCGTCAGCTGCGGGCGGCGTGGCTCCAGTGCAGGCATCACGCGATGCTTCTCCACACCGCGCCGAGTCGTCACGCGAAGGAGATCGGCCGCGGGTCCTGGCGGGT